TGTGACTTGAGAAGAAGTAACACCAATAATTATTTTTCAGTCAATTTTTATCTTCAAACCAAAATAAAAATAATAAAAAAGAAAAAAAACCGTTTATGTAGCACGTATGATAATGCAGGTGTTTCATTCCCATAAAGTTGGGATCTGCTCCACACACAGGGCGCCTCACAACGACCTGACAGGCATATCTTACTGTGCATCGGAACATTTTCCCTAGATATGTTTCCAATGTATGGTGGGATGTGCTTGTGAGGTCGGTATGAGGCACAATGTGAGGAGCAGATCCAATCTCATTGTCATATCCATGATTGACCATTGCTACTAAAGCTGTATCTCAAAGATTTGTGGTGAGAAAAATACCAAAAAAAATCATATTCTGAAGCTAGCTAAAACGTTTTTAATTAAACATCATGATTGACCATTGCTACTAAAGCTGTATCTCAAAGATTTGTGGTGAGAAAAATACCAAAAAAAATCATGTTCTGAAGCTAGCTAAAACGTTTTTAATTAAACATCATGTAGAAGGTTAATTAGGGGGATGTTTGGAATCGTGGCCGTTTTTCAAAAAAACGGTGCCACGTCGGATTCACATAGGCGTTTCAACAAATGCCCATGTATCTCATTGTTTGGTTCAGCTGATTATTCAAAAATCGGGCATGCCTCGAAAATCATGACCCCACCGATGCATGAAATGCCAAATTGTTGAACCGTTTCCTCCAACGGTTGATTGATGTATATCCTATGTGGTGCTTACCTGTCAGCACATACACGAAAAACGGTGATGAAAATCACCTTATCAAACAGCATAGTGTTGCTCACTGCCTACGTAGTAGAAGCATTTTTTTGTAAAAAACGGGTCTTGGAAGTATGGACGTCTTTTCTTGAAAATCAGTCCCAAAAAGTGCACATGCTTCCAAACACCATGTAGGAAATCAAAAACAATTAATGTATATATATGGTTAAAGAAATCCATTGCCCTAAATTATAAATAAAAAATAATCTACATAATAATTTTTGTTATAGCCCTTTAATAGATCATCATGGCAAAAGAAGTGGTCATTCTCTTTCCGTTTGTAGCCAGGAGCACAGTATCCAGTAGAAACTGGATTCAATCAGTGTAAAGCCCGTTAGAACCGTCGTCATAGCCTTTGCATTGGGAGTATTTCTTTATAAAATAAAACACAAAAGTACAGAGATATTCCCGATGTAAGGCTGTTCAAACGGACTTGCACTGACTGAAATCGACCCCTATATATCTTCTTATAAAATAAAACACAAAAGTATAGAGATATTCCCGATGCAAGACTATTGAAACGGGCCTTGCACTGACTGAAGCCGACCTCCATTCAGGAAAACTCAACTCTGACAGTATATATATATATATGTTCAAACGGGCCTTGCACCTCCTCCATTCAGGAAAACTCTGACAGTTTATATATCGATATTAGGATAATTAAAGAAGGAAAAAAAAAAGTTAATTAATAGGACAAACGGTGCAGTATGGGATGGCTAGCTTTGCCAAAGCCATATCATCTACCCCTGCACTCACTATTAATTATTAATATAATAAGCTTTAAAGTCCATAAACTACTGGGACGCTACAATTAAACTCATTTGATGATATTCCTAATAACAATTAATACTAGCTTTAGCTCTAATAGAAATCAATCAATCAATTAATTAAGAAAAATACTATCTTAATGTAAATAAGTAGAGAAGTAGCTAGCAGCCTATGAAAAACACGAAGAGGGGGGTCATCAGAAGATTGGAATTTATAAATGAATTGACAACAAACCAAGTAGAGAAGTCGCGTAGGAAAATGGAGAAATGGAGAATAAAATGACTTGGCAACAAAATATATAAAAGTTAGGGAATATATATGTATAGCAGCAACATACATGCACAAGCTCCGCTTCATGTGATATAACATTGGTAGTGAGCTGAAGCTCTAAGATATATAGAATGATAGACTCAGGTCCCATCCTCCACACCTGTGTTGCATTTGTAATGGTTGAAGCACTTTCAGTCCAGTCGTCCTCACCCAAATTTGTATTGATTGACTATGAAATTACATTTGATATGAGATGAAGGTCAGCATCGATCCATCGGCAATTAATTTATTATTAGATCAAGCTAGCTTTTTTGTATTAAAAAAAAAAATGTAGCATCAAATGGGACGGGTAGGCGGGTAGCGTCTGGTAGGGAGGTGATGGGTCATCCGTCCATCGGAAAGCCAAGTAATTCAAATAAGTGACTAAATATTAAGACTGAGATAATAAGAATTACGCACGTCTATGCTGGGTTAGTAATTAATCCGGACAATAATTAAGCTACTAAAACAAAAAAAAAAAAAAGAAACAATTAAGGCATGGACGTTGATGGGCTCCCCCTCCCTCCCTCCTGAGAGCTGAGATTGACACCTGAGCTTGCTTTCATTCAAAGACCATAAAAATTGCATTGAGTTTTACACGCACCTACATAGACCTGGCCCGTACATGTCCAGTACTGATCATCACTGTGCGTGTTTAGATTCTTTTTTATCTCACTACTCTTAATTAGATTACATGATCACAAAACCTACAACAGGCCACCTCAAGCTCAATGCATCCATCTTATCAATTAATCCAATAAATAAAAGTTCAGTCAAAGAGGAAAACCTCACTTCAACTATACATAACCATGTCACCTTCTCTCTTAAATAATTTAAGCAATTAATAGAAATCAAAATCAATATTCTAATCAGCCAATTATTCCATTTTCTTCTACTGGCCAAATAAAATAAAACAAGCTGTAGCGAGGGAAAACTGTGTAACAAATTAAAAGTTCATTGATTACAACTTTTTTTGCTTATATATCTTTCAATTGGTTAACATTTCCCAATCCAACTAGGCAACTATGCATGACATGACCTCTTCAATTGAATAATAATAATAATAATAATAATAATATATAATTAAAGAGCTGCAAATTAACGGATCCGATTTTAAAAAGGATATACTTAAAATCAAGTTTGATTCATAATATTCATATCCATATCTGATCTTATATATCCAGCTTATTCAAATTATTCTTGTACACTATTCATAAATTAAACTAATAAAAATTTTCTAAATATTATGGCTATGGGTTGTAAATAAATTTAACTCAATATGGCTTTGGTAGTATCAAAATGACTTGAAAAAGATCTTTGAAACTTGACTCTTTGTAAATATACAACAAATAAAGCAAATTAACTTAGACGTACATAACATAAATATTTAATTCAATGACACATACACATAGTAGATGGTATATATTGGGGTGTGGATTCCTATTTAATTCAATTATAACAGGATAGAATTGCGATTACTTTATTTCGATCCAATCCGAATTGAACAAATTAAATACGATTCAGAGCGCTAAACAGTAAAGGGCATTAGGACAAGCTACAATGAGGATGCACCCATCATCACCATATTAATAGAAAATGAGACGACCTCCTCCTCAGGACCACCTTTCTAGCTAATAGGTCACTTATTAAACGAAACTTTATCTTTTCTTGAGTAAATTAAAAAAGAAATAAAAAGGGCTAAATTAAGTGGGCTGAGGAACCAAACACGGTCAATCATGCAAGAACGTTCCCCATCTGATGACCAGTGCTAGATTGGCCACGTCATGGCTAGTCGCCTAGATGTGGCAGAAGTTAGGTAGATGAAGAAGCATATGCAATATACCTGCAGGCTGCCCTTATTAGGAATTAAAATTGTTCATAACAATAGCATATACTTGAGTGTTGAAGTGTTGAATCTTCGCCAGCTAGCTAGCATGGTGATCACTAAACACAGAAGAGAAGAGCTATATATGTTGTGAACGTTGTGGGTATCAAGTATATTTTCTCTTTTCTCTGAGGAAGAGAAATGCAATAAAAGGAAAAGGAAACTCCGGTGGTCCAATCGATCATGGTGGTAGCTATCAAGCTTTTTATTTCTCCAATTGCTTTTTTCTCTAGTCGATATCCAATGTGAAGGTAAGGACCACTTGCTCTGATTTATTTTTAATTTAATTTACTTTCACATTAATTTATATCATTGGAGCTAGAATATTATTAATAAAAATAAGAAATTGTTTTAAAGCAAAATCATACAGCTAATTTGTGGTGAAGAAGTCAAAGTAGTTTCTAGTGAGTGGAGAGGAGAGAACAAAGGATAAAGTAATTGATATAAGACAGAGAGAGAGAGAGAGGGAATGTGACCCAATTAGAAAAATCCAATTGATGTGATCCTTGAGCATCCTTGTCACTCAAGTGTTACTAGTGGCAATGAGTATGATTTCAGGATAACCTTCCCACCTAATCAATTGAGGCCTCAGGGAGATTTTCAAATCGACGTAGAGCAGCCGAGATGTAACATCATCAAAGCCATGGGCGAGGGCCGGGGGCCGGGGGGTTAGGAAAAAAAAAAAAGTTGAATATCGACTCCAATATAATTAAGCACACATAGACATAATCCGGCCCACGTAAAAGCATGCATACACATAGTCGGTAAGGTGGTTTTTTAGTCCCAATCACCGATACATTATTCACGGAAAATTAAGCAGGCCGTCACGAACTCACGATTAATAACTAGAAGTAATTAATATTGACCACGATGAATGTTTGGTCCTTGTCCTGCTCCTGGCGACCTGGTCCTTCCATATTAATTGTTAATTAGAGAGAACATTTATGTACTGTTGAGTATTATGACGAGGAGGTTAAAATTAAGTTCTAGGCTTATAGCTAGTTTGTTAAGGCATTAATTTACGTTATAATTAATAATAACAATAATGCTAGCTAACTAACTCATGAGAATTGAGATGTGAGTAGCTAGAAACTCCCAGTTTTTAATTAGACGCCCTGTTTAATTTTATTTTGTACGTTATGACCCTGGTCCATGCCAGTGGTCTTACATCAAGGAATGTTGACGTTCATCATCGTGAACACAGCCACCCAATCTGCTTATATATAGTTGAGTTACAGCACACACGTTCTCGCAAACCAAGCCATGTAATCATCTCCCTCTCTCTCTCGCTCGCACATATACCCCCACACACCCCCACATACACACAAACGCACAGACATGAATACGTACGAAATGCTGGGCTCAAGATATGTAAGTCATCAAAGAAAGAAATCCATGTTGTGGGGATGCTCTCTGTCCCTGTTGGTTGTTGCAATTGTTGCATTTTCTTGTGTAACCATTATTAGATCCTCAGGAGGAGAAGGAGGAGTCGTCCAGCCAAAACCCACAAAACCTCGTACCTCCGTAGTCTCTCGAGCCGTTGTCTCTACTTGCAAAGACACACTTTACCGAGAGCTTTGCGAGTCATCGCTTCGTCTCTCGTCCACGGATGCTCCCCCAAAAACTTCAGGGGAGGTGTTTGACCTCTCAGTCAAGTTGGCCATCAGCCAAGCTGAGTCAGCTCGGTCGCTAGCATTCAGCCTCAGTCTTGTGCGTCAAAAACAAGGGACCACCCATCATTATTCCATCACCGCCATGGACGACTGCATCGAGCTACTCGACGATAGCCTAGACCACCTCAACAATGTCCTGGACCCCAAGAAGAACCCGAGCCCAAACGACATACAGACATGGTTAAGTGCAGCCCTCACAAATCAAGACACTTGTCTGGAGAGCCTCCAGAATTACAAGTTTTCAACCGAAAAGGACATGATGGATGGGCATGCAAAAAACCTGTCTCAATTGATTAGTAACTCCCTAGCGTTGTACAAAACAACGAAGAGGATAAAAGACGCGAAAATTCCCAATCTCGGCGGTGGTGGTGGTGGTGGTGGCCGAAGATTGTTAACCGGTGATGATAAGTTTCCGGCATGGCTGTCCAAAGGAGAACGAAAGCTTCTAGAAACATCAATCAAGGACATAGAAGCTAACGCGGTGGTAGCCCAGGACGGAAGTGGGACGCACACGACCATTGCAGAGGCAATTGCCTCGGTATCCCTGGTAGGTGGTGGCGGTGGGAGGACCGTAATTCACCTCAAAGCGGGGACTTATAATGAGAATATAAACATTCCCACCAAACAGAAAAACGTTATGTTGGTGGGAGATGGGAAGGGCGTCACTGTTATCGTTGGAAGCAAAAATGCTGAACAAGGCTCCACAACCTTCCGCTCTGCTACCGTCGGTAAGAAATACGTACTACTACTCAGTTTTCACTTTTCACTTTTCACAGATTAAACAAATAAAATGAGTTCTTGCATGCTAGAAGGGACTCCGGATCACCTGCCAATAATATACGTTCCAACCCTCCAAACATGATCTCACACCATACATCTCATCATATATTACGGGCCCCAACCTCACGGTGAGATGTGCGGTGTTAGATGAAATTGGTAGAGGGTTGAAACGTATTTTATTGGCAGAAGATCTCGTCTAACTTTATTCTTGACTCTTGACTCGTCGGGGCCGGGAGCAGCATACCACACACCAGCTGTATTTATCATTAAGACCAATCGCCAATTTTTAACCACATGACAGAGGCTATTCGGTAACCAGTATTGGGCCTCAAGGCCCTCAACCCGGCTGCATGACAATATTAATACTTGATAGTGCAGTGCCTACTGATCATGTACATTATATATATTTTTTTTTAATTTTAGGGTTGTGGGAGGTGAAATGATATTCTCTCTACATAAGTTTTGGTAGAAATAGACAAATGTATTATTATTATTATTATTATTATTATTATTATTATTATTATTATTATTATTATTATTATTATTATTATTATTATTATTATTATTATTATT